AAAAACCAGTATATGTTTTGAACCAATTGTGAGGTTTTTAAATACAAAGTCATTTTGTTTTTGCAAATAACAACAAATCCACATAAGGCGGTAAAAAGCTATGAGCTGCTAAAGCCCACTTTATTTCAAAGTCTTGAACATTTTTGGTGCAACTTTTCTTGAGCCCATTCGTCCTTATTTCGGAACAGTTTGGTGGATTGACTTATTTTGTGATCAAATTTACATTAATCCTTTAAATCACTCTAAGTCTAACCACCAACCATCGTTGAGTGCAGACGTGTTTTTAGCAGCTCCGTCGCGTTTCTAATCATATTTACGTTCGCGATGTGTTTGTGTTTCAATTGTAACTCGCTGTGTGCGAGCGGTGATTTTATTACTTGTGGACTTTGTTCGCTGAACTTTCATTTAAAATGTGCAAAACTAAATTCCGCTTGCCTCAAAGTAATCAAATCTAATAAAAATCTAATATTCAGATGTGACACCTGCAGCAGTGTATCTATTTCGTCCTGCTTGGCTAAGATTAGTAATGCTTTGTGTTCACTAAAAGAAATAGAAACTGCTTTTGGAGGACATTCCAACCTGCATAATCCAGAATATCCAAAAAATTCGAATATATCGCACGTTTCTATCAACAATGCTGCTAGCAACATTGCGCCTAGTAATGATACAGCTGATAATAACAATTTGATTATTACGCGTTCAAAAGCTAGGGTCGCTGACCTTAATAAGNTGTTTGACTCTAAGTTATCCTTCAATACTCATATTAATTTTATCCTTTCGAAATCGTACTCTGCTCTTGGCTTTATTCGGCGTAACACTTCCGAGTTTTCAGACCCATATACCTTTAAATTGCTTTTTACGGCTCTTGTTCGTTCACACTTGGAATATGCGGTAATAGTTTGGAGACCATATGACCAACTATCGATAGGTAGAATTGAACGCGTTCAAAAAGTATTTCTGAAATTCGCACTGCGTTCGCTGCGGTTTGAGGCTCCTGTTCCATCCTATGGCTCGCGGCTAATGCTGATCAATTTAAGTACTTTAGAAAAGAGAAGAACAGTTCTTTCATTATCGTTCACTTATAATATAATTAGTGGCATCATTGACTGCCCAATTTTGCTTGAGCGGATAAGCTTTAATGTTCCACAAAGAAGTCTCCGAAATGTTTACCCTTTTTACGGAGAAAGCTTCAAAACTAAATATGCAAGTAATGCTCCGATTTCTCGAGCACTTCGGGAATTCAATGCATTATCTAACACGCATCATCTAGACTTTTCTTTGCCTAAATCGGCTTTTATTAAAGTCCTTAATTTAATTGCTTGATTTGTATTTTATTTGGCATTATCAATTATTACTATATAATATATTTTCTAGTCTGTAAGGTACATTGTACTGTAGATTTAAACATAAATAAATAAATAAATAAATAAATAAAGTGTCCTAGTGGCATGAAGATACTTCATATTAGCATAAGAATGGAAGTAACTTTCACTGCCAAGCAAGGTTTACCTTAGAATTCTTGTAACTTTTTTGCTCTCGGTTTTTCTGCTACATGTGCCAAAGAATCGGCTGAGTGAAATTCTTGTCTTGAAAAATAAGAACCATCTGCGAAAATGTATTTTTCGTCGTTCATTAAACAAACTACGACTTACTAAAAACAAATTTTCACTCTCTCTTTTGCGGCATCCTTCTTGACAAAGTTTGTTTCTGGAACTTTTTTCAGCTTGAAAATCTTAATTTTTTATCTTTATTCCAAACAAAACTTATTCTAAGAAGTAAACCTTACTTGCTAATTTCCTTACTAAAATGTTTGAATCCTTCGTTAGTGTGGTCATAATATCCTTTGCCTTTTCGCGATCGTCTAACCCCTCCGATTTACTCCAACCTCTCTTTCGAGCAATTTCCCACGTCAGTGGACATCGAGGGTGCTTTCAACAGCATATCTCCTGAGGCGATTATCTCATCACTGGCAAATTTGGGTGTAAGCCAACTCATACATCTCGTTTATTAAACGAATGCTGACCGGATACGAAATAAGTGCAGCATTAGATGAATCGCAAAGATTCCTGGTAAAGAGTACGCCCCAGGGAGGAGTAACCTCACCACTTCTGTGGAACATAGCAGTAGCCAGCCTCCTTCAAGAACTTGAAGGCATTGGTGGGAAGACAATTGCAAACGCCGACGATATTATAATAGCTATTTCGGGCAAACACCCCTCAACATTAACCGATCTAATTCAAAGAATAAATCCTGAAAAGACAGACTTAGTGCTCTTCACTAGGAAGCACAAGATAATTGACCTCGACGCTATAACTCTAGGGGGAAAACCCTTGAAATAAAGGAAGAGACCAAATATCTAGGTCTGGGGGCCTAATATTGCAGATAGAGTGCGAAAAGCAACAGTAGCACTATATTCTTGCAGCAGGTCAATAGGAAAAAGATGGCGGATGGAACCCAAAATAATACGCGGAGTTTCGGAGCTTCCCGTATCGGTGGAGTACGCCCTTCCGAACTCTGATCCCACTATAGCGTTTACGAACCTCCTACCTTCAAGGAAAGAGTGGAAACGAGCCGCTCTAAGGCGTGGCGAGTCCATCCATTTATACACAGATGCCTCAAAGCTCAAGGGAAGGGTTGGTGGGCGTGTATACTCCGAACACCTGGGAATCTCCCTCAGTTTTCGTCTTCCAGACCACTGTGCGTTATCGAGCGTTTTGTCGAGGAGCCTGAATTTTCTAAAGGTGATGCTAAATCACTCAGTAACTTATTTCAAGTATTTTGTAGAATTTTTACCAATATAATAATGATGCTTTTGATTCCTAAATTAATAACATGTTACAGCTCCACTCATAATACATCCATTAGGTCACAGTCTATTCACTAATCCTCTCTTAAGCTCAGCCCATTGACCCATCCAATTTTACAAATCTCTGCATACAACTTTCACTAAATCCCCTACCTTATTTCCTCCAACAGTACTCTTCTTTCGATCACAATCACAGAAATTCTCGTTTTGACTTCAATTACCAACACCAATTTCGAATTTCATTCAACAACAACGATTATCTCTTTTTTTCTTGTACCTATGTACACTTGCAAGTGTATGTACTCAATTCCTTTTGATTTCCTCTCTAATGGCTTTGGCAATCCATTCGCTTCACAACTGAATGGTCGATTGTCTCAATTGATATTGATGAGTATTCTCTTCCGTTCCGTTTTTTTTTGATTAGTCATCGTTTGGCTTGACACTATCCGCAATTCTCATCATTGCTAAGAAATCCACTTAACCACTTATACTAGCCAACTCTTTTAAGTTGTGTGTAGTGATTTTCGCTTGTGTTGGTCATTACCTCTTGCCCGGTTTTATACGAACAGTTTAGTGTTTTTATTTTATGTTTTCTTTTTTTGAATAGCTGCTTTCGCTTTGGTTTGAGTTTCAGCTGTCATTTTAGGTGATTTAATGAAGAATAATCTGCTTCGCTTCCACTGCTTTCCTCATTTTTTTCTGCTCTTTTCTTTTACATTCTCTTAGTTTTTCGTCTAATAAAAAAAAAACTTCAATGATTGCTTTGGTTGGCTTGGAGTTTATTAGCACTAAACAGTAGAAATGGCAAATGAAAAACGGAAAACGGAAATGGAAGTGAAGGTTTAAAAAAATGGCGAGTTCATTTTGAGTTTATCGTACTCGTAAATTGAGTTGGTGAAGAATAAATGAAGAGTAAGCGAAATGACCAATTGACAGTGTTTGGAATGAAATGCTTAGCGTTATTATTACCAATCAATTAAGTAATCCAGTATATTTCTTTAGAATAACAGAGCCCGCTATGTACAAAAAATCAAATAAGTAAGCATTTCAAACTTTGCAGAATAATTAGAATACTTCGACAAATTCTCATGAAAATTTTGGGCTTTTTAATTAGAGGTCTTAGAAGTATTCTGTTAATGCAGTTTTATATTTCGTTTAATTTTAGTATAATAAAGTGCAAGTTTTAAAAAGCCGTTGATTATTGGCATTTTTTTGTGGAAGGTGTTGCTCTTTTTCCCCTTGCAAATAAATTTTCGAACATACTTTGTATGGAAGAAAATGCGCTAGCAAGAAATTACCAAAAATCGACGGTAAGTCCTAATTACCTCAAACCAGACTTGTTAAATAATGATTAATAATCAAATAGTCTTTCGACCGGGCCTGACGAAGTCAACGGAGTATTAAACAATATAGCAGCCTCCTTCGGCAATTCATGGCACTTGAAAAATTCCACATCTATAGACGAGTCGCTATTGTAAGAGTTGGCTTTGGACAAGGCTCTTTAAGCTATCTTTATTGGGCGAAATTTGCTCAAAACTCGAATCGTCTTCATTATCTGCAATAAGAGCGCATGTGAGCCAGACCTGTTAACTTTGGTTTACGATTACTACTAAAACAAATTAAGCGCATTTAGCATGTTTGACTTTGAATTGATTCCCTTGAAAGGCTTTATATATGTATAAGTCTTTTCCATTACAAGGAAGGAACTAACCCTATGGCTAGTTAATTGTTAAAATATTTTTTTGCAAACGCAATGAAATATTGCTTTAAAGGATAAATTCCCTATCTCGAGATAAGTTGCTTTAATAAAATGCCTGAGATTATTGTGGCGAATGCTGTAAAACACGAATTGCAAGTCAAAGCGAATAACAAGAGAATGGCAAAAAGTGCGATAAGAGATGTAGAAGGTTCGACGTCAAGAAACGTAAAATGGAATGTTCGATAACTATCGATAAGAAACTTCTAGTGTTGCAATAAGTGCGAGCGCGTTTATGAATAAAGTGTTGTTATAACAGATATTTATTATAAACTTTACAAAATGCTAGTTGTATAATTTCTATAGCATAGTAATTGCAGCGTTTATTTAACAATCCGATGAACGAATCTGCAAATGCATTAATATCTAATTTATGTATCTAAATAAAAAGCGAAAAATACTAATTTACCAATTTTTCTTGTTCTTTTCAGTATTTTCAAGACTTTAAAATAATAACCATGGCCACTCAACAGCGCCATCAACATCAACGACTGCTGCAGCGACTGATAGTACATTTTGAAGTAAAATTAATTTTTTATAGATACAATTTTGTGCAACGAATATTCGTAAAGAAATCCAAAGCTCCCAAAATTGATCGGAAATTTTAGATCAAAAAAGACGCAAACATTTTTCACACAAAGCACTCGCCATCCTTTGGAATAGCAAGCGCGTGTCAAAATGTGCTCCACAACACAGTTTTGTTTACTCAATCTACGCACATATTTAATCTACTTGTGTTGCTATCTACTTATAATGGTGGCCGCAGGTAGTCGTGTAGTTAACGGTTTAAAGTGTTATTGCAATCCCAAAGAGTGTGATGTCATACGTTCGCTGGATTGCCCCGGGAAGGGAATGATGCTGTGGGATCCCTGCAAGTGAGTTAACAACTTTTACCTGAACTGTGGTTTTTCAATATTTTTTCCTTCAAATATCGTTTCCGTTTTTAAGTATTTATATCGAGCCCGTTTAGTCAATACGATCTATCTGAAATTTTCGCAAAAAGTAGTTTCTGACGTTAGCACCCTTCTGGGACTTAACTCGCATCACTTTTGTTTATTCTAACTTTACAATACAATAGCAATTTCTGCAAGCAAGCGATATGTAAGGTCGGCCTTAACATCATCGTTGGCAGATGAAAGTAGCTTTTGTGAAAACTGCGGATAGATCGCACAGTGTTCTATTTTGGAAAGAAAGATACAAAATCAAATATCTACCGAAATATATATATAAGAGTGTTTTAAAGCTTTTGAGCCTAAAAATTTAGGAAAGATAAACGTGTTGTATAAAACAATTAGCTTGACCTTCAAAACGTCTTTCGAGAATTAAAGGTTTAAATTTTTTTTATTTTTTTTTATTATTTTTTGTCTTATAATAATTGGAACCATTACATTTATTTAGCTATCTCATCTCTTTCTTGCGATAGTTGATTTTGTCCACTTCTTCTAAAATAGAACACGGCGGATCGTATTGAATATGAGCCCGAAAACAAGATATCGAGGGCTTATGTTCAATACGATCCACTCATTTATTTTCATATGATTCCACTCCTTTACGTGGCATTCAAATCCAGTATATTGCATTCATTTCTATTCTAGTAATTTCATTCCATTTAATTCCATTCCACTAGATATAGATCGATTTCAGTCAATACCATACCATTCCACTTTATTCCATTATATTATACTTTATATGATTTCGCGATTCACCTTCAAAAATTTCATCATTCATTCATTTCTTTTCATTCCATTTCTCACCTCACCCCCTCACGCAGAATACCACATCATTTTCCCTTCAATTCCTTTGCTTCTCTTTACTCCACCTCACTTTACTTCTTTCTACATATTAATTTCACTTAATTTCAGTACACTTCGCTGCTTTTAACTTTATTTTACTTCACTGCACTTTAGTTCTCGTTTTATCACTTCACTTCTTCAGTTCCATTTACTTTTCTTTACCTTGTTTTGTCACCTCACTTCATTTCTGATGATTTCACTTCTTTATATTTAATTTGGCTTCACCTTACCTCAATTCACTCCCTTCACTTTACTTTACTTTTTATCCAACCTTCACTTCGGTTCACTCACTTCGCTTTACTTCACTTCACTTCACTTCACTTCACTTCACTTCACTTCACTTCACTTCACTTCACTTCACTT